CAGCACCAATTCCCCATGTGAAATCTCTTTCTGCTTAAATTAACCAGACTGGGATCTGCTGACTACACCTGGATCCTGATCAAGGCTGGAGACCAGGTCTTTACTGTTCCCAGGCAAATAGCATTCCAATATATTACTCTATATGTAACTGGCATAGAGCAGTGATGCTCGGGAGTGAAAAAGCATTTGGAGTTGGAAAGTCCCTTGCTGAGTTTCAAGTTTCCCATCTGGAAAATGGGGATGATAATAATAATAATTTGGCATCTACCTTATAGAATTAAACAGATTAAATGAGTCAACACATGCGCAATATTTCCATGTGCCTGGCACCTGGAAGGCAATGCTTGATGAAGTCCGTTTTGCTTGTTTGCTCAGCTCAAGCCGCCTCCCTCTCTTTGGTAACTGCTGTATCTGCAGGCACAGTGAAGTTAAGTAACTGACCCAAAGGCATACTGCTAAGAGAGGACATCTTAGGCCGGCTGTGGTGGCTCACGCCTGTAATCCCAGCACTTTGGGAGGCCAAGGCAGGCGGATCACCTGAGGTCAGGAGTTCAAGACCAGCCTGGCCAACATAGTGAAACCCCATCTCTACTAAAAATAGAAAAATTAGCCGGGTGTGGCAGCGCACACCTGTAGTCCCAGCTATTCAGGAGGCTGAGGCAGGAGAATCGTTTGAACCCAGAAGGCTGAGCTTGCAGTGAGCCGAGATCACGCCACTTCACTCAAGGTTGGGTGACAGAGCAAGACTCCAGTTACTTAACTAGCCCAAAGGCACACTTGACTCTAGAGAGCAAGCGTAGAGTAGCTAAGAATAGAGAAGATAAGACGCAAACCCATGTAGTCTAGCTTCGTAGTTCATGCTCTTAATCCTTACATTGTACCACTTTTTAAAGCTGAGAACTGAAGGTATTTACAAGTTAACTAGGGGACATGTGGGTGCTTCCGAGGATGGAAATATAATGAAGATACGGTTGAGGTAAAAGTAAGTAAAGGAGTATTCTAGAAGACAAAGAACAGCACATACCAAAGCTCAAGGAGGGAAAGACATTGGGGAAATTCAAGAAATTCCTTCAGAGAAGGCTAAAGTTGTGAGAATACTTTTCTCCCTTCTTTCACATCATGGCACACCTAGAAAATGACACTATTTGTATGGATCACTGGAATAAATGCAGAAGCTATTTGTGGCTGGAGACACCTGACCCAGGAGTTGTGGGTCTCAGTCATAGGCATATCTGGAACCCACTTATAGGAAATCTTTTCTAGAAAGTAGAGAGCAAGGGGAACATTGGCACAGAGACTGGATAGGTGAGACAGACCCAAGACAGGCACAAGCCCCTGGGCCATAAGAAAGATTCGAATGCAAGTTTGAGTATATTGGGAAGCCACTGAAGGATTTAACTGGGAGATAAGCCATAGGATCTGATTTGCTTTGTGTCTTTTGGAGAACACTAACTGCTGTGAGGTCAATGGATCAATGGATGAGAGGACAGGTGTGGAAGTGGGAGGGAGGGTACAGGTAAGAGGCTGTTGCAGTGGTCTTGGAAAAAGAAATGAGGACAGCATAGGCTAGGTGGATGACAGTGGAGATGGAGAGAAATACATGGATTTCAGGTATCTTTTTTTTTTTTTTTTTTTTTTTGCAACTTCTGCCTCCCAGTTCAAGTGATTCTCCAGCCTCAGCCTCCCAGTAGGTGGGATTACAGGTGCCTGCCACCATGTCTGGCTAATTTTTTGTATTTTTAGTAGAGACTGGGTTTCACCATGTTGGTCAGGCTGGTCTTGAACTCCTGACCTCAGGCAATCCGCCCACCTTGGCCTCCCAAAGTGCTGGGATAACAGGTGTCAGCCACTGCACCAGGCCAGATTTCAGGTATCTTTTAGAGCTTGTATCTCCCAGGCCTAGAGATGGTTTGGGTGTACAAGGTGAAGGAGAAAGGATGGTAATGTTGTTTCTCTCACAGTGTTCTCATGAGAAATTAAATTAAATTTTGTCCAGGTTCCTCAAAAAAGCTAAACATAGAATTATTATATAAACCATCTATTCCAAAAGAATTCACAGCAGGAACGCAAACACACACTTATATACCAATGTTCATAGTAGCACTATTCCCAATAGCCAAAAGGTGGAAACAGCCAAAATGTCCATCAACAGATGAATGGGTAAACAAACTGTGGCCTATTCATACAATGGAATATTATTCAGCCATAAAAAGGAACGAAGTTCTGATGAATGTTTACAACATGAATGGGCCTTGACAACATGCTAAGTGAAATAAGTCAGTCACATATATTGCAAATATTGTATGATTCCACTTACGTTGGGTACCAAAGTCATAGGGACAGGAAGTATAGTAGAGGTTGCCAGGGATGCAGGGAAGTAGGGAGTAGGCAGTTATTATTTAATGGGTGCAGACTTTCTGTTTGCAATGATAGAAACAATGGAAATAATGGTGATTGTTGCAGGGCACTGTGAATGAATGCAATGCCACTGAACTGTACACTGAAAAATTGTTAAAATGGTCAATTTCATTTACACAAATTACCATAATGAAAAAATTGATCATTTACATAGAGTGATTAGCACATATCTGACCCATTGCAGTTTTAGCTCAATGGTTATAACTATTGTTTTCATATGTCTAGCCTAGCCTCTCTTTTTTCAGAGAAGAATCTCCCTTATTCTTAAGGTTGAGAGTTTTGAATTTTTGAGTCTGTCTGCCCTGAAGCACTTCTTGACAACCTGAGTCCTTCCTTGTCATACTTGGCTCTCCTGTGGACACTGTCATTCATACACCTGCAAATCACAGTCCACTTCATAGGACGAGGTCCCCTCCTCATTGGAACCAGAGAAAAGAGAGCACAGGGAGGCCTCCCATCGCTTGCAGTCTTGCCCTCTTGGATTCTCTAAGGCTAGATCACTAGGCTTCAGCAGTGGGATAATCTCAGAGTGAACTTATTATCGGGGAGAGGAAAAGTGAAAGAACAGGGTAACTCAAGTTTTCCTGGAGTCTCCAATGGAAAGAACCCCAAACTGAAGTTCTTCACAAGAACAGTATCCACCACTCCTGTCTCGCCCCCACTGTATACTGAGCTGTCCCAGCCTACTGCTCTCAAGCCGGCTCCCTAAGGGATGCCTTCTTCAAGTCTCTGAATCTCTACCCACCAATGACTGGCCTTTTCCTGGACAGGGTTACAGTCTGAGTCATTCTCTCTGGAGTAGTGCCCCAGTTGTAAGTGATACCTGCTGCCACTCAAGTCTCACAGAATAGCTGGATCCCTTGGACAGGAGTGGACCTGGAACCTCTGGTTCAAGTTATTTTACTTGAAGCTCCAGGGAGGGCTGTAGGGATGCTGGTTCCTGTTCCTGTAATGAACCAACCTGCTACATTAAGCACAGTCTTACCTCTCAACCAGAATGGGACATTTCATGTTCCATACAGTTTGCATACATACAGAAAAACAAAATATTCCCTAGAATAACAAGACATCTTATTCCTACTCCAGCGTCTCAAGCCCTGAACAACTTTGAAGCTTATTTCCAGTTCCTCTGGAGGGTCTACCTGGATAATAAAAGTCACCCGTTTAGTGGCAGCCACCCAGAACAAACTCCAGGCTTGATCATCTTTTCTTGTTTATTTCTGAAGACTCCCTGGGATGAGATGAAGTTGCCAATTTTTTCTTATAATATTGTTATTGTTATCACAGTCCAAGGGAAAGGAAAGTTTATTCAGTAAGTGCTATTGAAACAACTGGGCAATTATTTGGAGGAAAAAATTTCCTAGATCCTTGCCTTATACCTAACACAACACTAAAATAAATTTCAAAGGGATTAAAGATTTGAGTTTTAAAAGAAAGAGGAATTATATTAACTAAAAGAAGGAATTTAAACTCCTAAAAAGCATTCAATGAGAAGTAGATAGCCTCAGTTTACTTCTCATCAAAATATCCACAAACATGCACATATAGAAAAAGACAAAAACTGTTAATACTAAAAGAAAAAGGCTGACAAGTAAATACCAAAATATAGTAGAAATCAATTTCTACTGCCATTATTTCTCCTTCTTTTCTTTTCTTTTCTTTTCTAAGACAGGAGCTCACTCTGTTACCCAGACTGATTACCCAGTGGTGCAATCATGGCTCATTGCAGCCTTGAGCTTCTGGGCTCAAGCAATCGTCCCACCTCAGCCACCCAAGTAGCTTGGACTACAGGCATGTGCCACCATGCCTGGCTAATTTTTGTAGATACAGTTTCACCATGTTGCCCAGGCCGGCCCTGCACTCCAGGGCACAATCAACACACCCACCTCAGCCTCCCAAAGTACTGGGATTACAGTTGTGAGCCATTGTGGCCAGCCTACTGCCGTGATGTCTACTGCCATGATTTCATGGCAGGTGCAGCTGGTCCAGCACGGATGGGTTGCTCTTGCCTTCATGATAGAGCGACCTACTGATAAAAAGGTATGAGGAAGCTTTAGCTATCTCTCTCTGTATTTTTTGAGACAGATTGAGCTCTAATCCAATGTGATTGCTGTACTTATAAAAGAGGGAAATTTGAGGCCGGGCGCGGTGGCTCAAGCCTGTAATCCCAGCACTTTGGGAGGCCGAGACGGGCGGATCACGAGGTCAGGAGATCGAGACCATCCTGGCTAACATGGTGAAACCCTGTCTCTACTAAGAAAATACAAAAAAAACTAGCCGGGCGCGGTGGCGGGCGCCTGTAGTGCCGGCTACTCGGGAGGCTGAGGAAGGAGAATGGCATGAACCCAGGAGGCGGAGCTTGCAGTGAGCTGAGATCTGGCCACTGCACTCCAGGCTGGGCGACAGAGCCAGACTCCATCTCAAAAAAAAAAAAAAAAAAAAAAAAAAAAGCCAAATGGAGCAAAACACAAACATAAGTAAAGCAGGAATTAAGTGATGTTTTGTGAATACCAAGTGCTAGCAAACCATCAGAAGCTCAAAAAAAAAAAAAAAAAAAAAAAAAAAAAAAAAAAAAAAAAAGAGGGAAATTTGGACAGAGAGACACCCACATAGGAAGAACATCATGTGAAGGTAAAGGCAGAGATTAGGCGATGTTTTTGCAAGCCAAGGAATACCAGAGATTGCTAGCAAACCATCAGAAACAAGATGAGAGGCATGGAACAGATACTCTCACATAGCTCCAAGAAGAAACCAACCCTGCTTATACCTTGACCTTTCTCTTCTAACCTCCAGAACTAAGAGACAATAATGTTTGTGGATTAAGACATCCAGTTTATGGGTTTTCGTTATGGCAGACCTAGCAAAACTAACATATACTACCCAGTGCAGATTTGCTCTCCATCTTCCACTCCTCCCCTACATGAAATAACTAGATCTTATCTGGCTAATGTCCAAAATGTCTCATAGGTTCAGGCTCTACTCTGTTTCCATTGCCTCTGTAGACATATTGGGTAATTGGGTAATCAGTAAGCACCATGATAGGAGAAGATAGAAAGGGACTTAGTTGACCAAATGCAGCAAGGCTAGGTCAAAGCGGGTGTAAGAGGGAGAGGGTCTGGGATTCAAAAGTGATGTGGAAATGTTGGGGCTGGCAAGCACAGGTTGAGAGGATGCCTAACTTACCACTTGGTTGGAAAATGCTGAAACGGCAGAGGCTACACCAAATGTCCAAGGGGCGGGGCTGGCCAGAGGCCAAGATTTCCCTGGGTTTTGTCCCATGGCTGACTTTGGGGCTGGATTTTCACCTGGGGTGTGTGTTGGGGTCTGAGTGGAGATCTTGGGGAGATCTTTGCTACTGGGTTTCTTTAGGGTGTGGCCGCGGGGCACACATCCAGAAGCACTGGCCTTGTGAAGCTCCCGAGAGTGTTCTTTGAACTACTGCAAACCCAACCGGCAGGTTTGCTGAAAAGTGGCCACGTTCCAGTCCAAAATGTGTGAGCCAAGAGGGTGCTTAGCATTCCCCAGGCCCAGTCCCAGCTCTGTCAAGAAATGGGAGACTTCACCGTAGCACTGGGAATTGGATTCTAAACTTTAGGATCAAGCAATGAAAGGACCTGGAATAAGATACCTTCTTGACCTCCCTGAAGGGCTCTGAGCAGCTGAGCTTGCCTTTCTCTTTGCTCCCCCAGTCCTCCCCTTACTTCTCAGTCTCCTACTCCCCGTCGCTCCTTTCCCTGCCTCCTCCTGCCTGTCTCCTTCTTCCTCCCTTTCTTCTCTCACCCCATTAATCCCCCCTTGTCACTATCACCTCCTCCCTCCAGTCTTTCCCCCTTCGCTGCCCCTTCTTTCCTCCGACCTTTCCTTCTCTTACTGCCCCTGTCTCCCACCTTTCTCTTCCCCCCCCATATCTCCCTCTCCCTACCTCCTCCTCCTGTTCATCTTTCTCCTTCCCCCTTATTTTTCTATCTCCTTCCTCAGTCTGACTCCCCTTTCCACCCTCCTTTTGCCCGTCACTTCGCCTTCTCCCTCATTGCCCCCTCCCTCTCTCCTCCTCCCCGGGTCCTGCCCCACTCAGCTCTGTTTGCTTTTCTCCCGGATCCGGATGGAGGGGTTGCCCTGCCCATGCCCAGCCCTGCCCCACTTCTGGCAGCTTGGATCTCGCTTCATGGCTGAGGGCTCCAGGACTCAGGCCCCTGGGAAAGGGCCCCCACTCAGCATCCACTTCCTGCGAGCCCAGTATGAAGGCTTGAAGAGGCAGCAGAGGACCCAGGCCCACCTCCTGGTGCTTCCGAAAGGTAGGAATGGACAGGGACTGGGGAAGGAGAGACTGACCATGGGAGGACTGAGTGGCAGAGCCGCAGGGAGGCAGAGCCAGGGCTTTGCCAACCCTCCCTCCCAGTGGGGAAGAGCAAGGGAGGCGGGCTCAGGGCAGCTCTGCTCAGCTGTCCCACCTACTAAGGGAGCCAGGGGCCTCAGCCAAGCACCTGGCTGCCAGCACTGTTCCTGGCCTCTGCTCTGATGTTCTGATCTTGCTAGACTGGTCAGCCTGGAGGCTTGGCCCCCCTGCTAGCTCAGGTATGGTGATAGGAGCTCTGCTTCCTGGCTGGGTCTAACTAAGGCACCTCCTACAGACCAGAGAAATTCACTCTGGAGGTAGAAGACATGGTGTTCCCAACAGCCTGGGAACTGTCTGGGCCAGAGGACGCCTAGGGCTCAGAGACCCATGAGGCATCCCAGGCTCATCCAGCCTCAAACGTCAGGCAGGGAGGTGTGATTGGACACAGAAATCCCCTACCCCACTCACGGGGAGAAACCTCCTCCCTTTGGGAACTCAGATATCATTCCAGGAGGAAGTTAGAGGCACAGGGCTCAGAAACCAAGGGCTTGTCAAATCCCAGCCCTTCCTCCTCTAACAGAGGAACAGGTTGAGGGAGAAGGGAAGATGCCCTGAAAGGTCAAAGCTGGGCTCTGTGGGATTCTGTGGTTATTTGTAGAGTTCAGCAGACTCTTTGGGCTGCCCTTTGCCAGTACAGACTGGGCAAAAATCAGGGGCCAGAGGGACCTCTCTGTCTAGGGCAGGAAGTGTGCTGCCTTTTGGGAACAAAAGTGGCACCTCTGAGCTGAAGGAGCCCATCTCCCATTACCTGGGCTCTTGCCAACCAATGCGATCCTGTCCGTTCCTGGCAGGAGTGAACTGGCACAGCCAGTCACCATTTCTGCAGGGCATAAACTGAAATGTTCCTAAAGCTCTATCCCATCCTGGAGGGTGTTTATTCATTCAGTTATTCAACAAACATTTATTAATTTAAATCCCTTCAAAAGGAAACACTATGCTTAATACACCTGCAAGTCAGACTCACAAATCTAATTGCTTAGTGGGGATGATCCAAAGACATCTCAAATTCAACACGCCCCCAGAGAATTCACTATCCCCTGTGCTCATCCTTTCTCCTGCTCTTGGTAACTCAGTGCCCCCTTTCCCATCATTACCAGGTGCTAAATTATGGTTCATGCAAGGAGTGCCCAGGTGTGGTTTTCTCCAAGAAGACTTCTGACCTCCTGGCTAGGTCAGGGTCATTCATGGCACTTTCAGCAGTTTGCAGTTCCACCTTTTTTTTTTTTTTTGAGACAGATTCTCGCTCTGTCGCCCAGGCTGGAGTACAGTGTGGTGCAATCTTGGCTCACTGAAACCTCTGCCTCCCAGGTTCAAGCAATTATCCCTGCCTCAGCCTCCTGAGTAGCTGGATTACAGGCACCTGCCACCATGCCCAGTTAATTTTTGTATTTTTTTTAGTAGAGATGGGGTTGATGGCCATGTTGGCCAGGCTGGTCTTGAACTCCTGACCTTAGGTGATCCGCCCACCTCAGCCTTCAAAGGTGCTGGGCATGAGCCACCATGCTCGGCTGAGTTTCACATTCTTTATCTAACTGTGAGAGGCAGCATACTGTATAATGGAGTGGTCACGTACTGGATCTTGGAGCACAGCCTGAGTTTGAGTTCCAGTTCTGCCATTTACTTAATATGCAGCTTTAAACAAGTTACGTAAATTTTCTGGGGCTCAGTTTCCTCACCTGTCAATTGGGAATAACTGTAGTACCCAAATCATAGGGTTATTGCAGGAATCAAATGAATTAATATGTATAAAACTCATCAAGGCTTTATGCACTGATTGACTGAGGACAAGATCAAATATGTTACATGCATCTGAGTAGGAAGGCCATTGGAAACACTGGCACTGAATGTGAAGGAGCAGGTAATTCTCCAAGGAAAAATCAGGGTAAGGTGACAAAAATAAGGTGAAAATGACACTAAGGAGGCAAAAGAGCAATTAATTGTCCCCTATACTTTAGCAACAGGATAGATGGTGATATGTTTCCTTGAGAATACAGGAGAAAAGGTTTTTAATAGAGAGAGATTAACTTGTTTTTGAATATACTGCATTGGAGATAGTTGCCTGTAGACCTTCCATCCAGCCTGGATCTCAGTCGGGCTGGAGATCTAGATTTGGGGTCATTCATCTATAGATGGTAGCTGAAGCCATGGGCATGGATAAAATTGTGGCAAATCCATGTGTAAATTAATAAGAAACTGGGATGAAAGTTAGAGTTCTGGAATACTCAAATATTTAAGGAACAAGAGGAAGAAATAAAGCCAGGGAAGATGGAGAGAGCAGTCAAAATTTGAGGAGAGGGATATCATTCAGCCATAAAAAGGAAAGAAATTCTGCCATACACTACAACATGGATAAAACTTGAGGACATTATGCTGAGTAAAGTCAGTCAGTCCCAAAAAGACAAATACTGTATAATCCTATTTACATGAGTAAATGGGAGTAGTCATATATAGAGAGACAGAAAGAAAGCAGAATGGTGGTCGCCAGAGGCTGGGGCACGGGGAAGTGGGGCGCTATTGTTTAATGCCTATAGAGTGTCAGTTAGGCAAGCTGAAGAGTTCTGGAGATTGGGTCCACAATAATGTGAATGTACTGAACACTGCTAAACTGTACACTTAAAAATGGTTAAGATGGTACATTTTATGCTCTATATATTTTACCACAATTAAACATATTTTAAGTGGTAGAAGAAAATCAAGAGCAATTAATGTCATGAAGCCAAGTTGGTAGAGGGATTTTAGAGGACCATGATCCTCAGTGCCTATCGCAGCAGAGAGACCCAGGAAGACAGAGTGAGCATTGAGATTGGGCTCCTGCGAAAGCTAGAAGTCAATGTCTCAAGACATTGGGTTGCATTTAGAAGCTCAGAAATTCTAGGAGCTGATCAATGAAAGGAAGGGCTCCAAAATCAGCTTTCTTCACCCCGTCTTAGCATTATGCGATGGATCCAGGTTCTGGAAATTCAGTTACAAGTAGCAGTGTGCCTTTCCTGATGCAACGTAAGTTCCCAGGGGACTTTGAGCTACTTTCAGAAGTCTGTGGAGCCCCAATTACCCCCAGTGATTAATGTCCAAAAGGAATATGCTTTTGTCGCAGTCAGACACTGTGTGACTCGCCTTATGTAGAAAAAGGGATTAGGGTCGGGACTTATATCTGGGCTGGATGTTTTATATTACATTTCATTGAACATTCCTAGCAGCCCTGTAAGGTAGCACCCTTTTTAAGATCTCCATTTCATAGATGAGGAAATGGAGGCCTAGGGTCTCCTAGTGAGTCAGTGGTGAACTCAGGACCAGACCTCATGTCTGCCTGACTCTGGCTTGATGAGAGCAGCCCCACCAAAGGTCTCAGGCAGTTAGGATGAATTTCGATTCTTCTTTCCTCCCTGAGTCTCCCTACCACTCTCTTCGCTATTCTCTCCACCCACTTCCTCCATCCCCACTGAAGAGAGAAATCAAGGAGGGGCTCAAAATATCCCTTCTCCAATTTGTATCTCTTAGCAAAGTGATTCAAGGATGAAGAATGAAGAAAGTATTATAGATAACGAGTACATTTCCTTCATCGCCAGTCCCTAACTGACCAAAACCAAAACAAAACAGATAAAAAACATGATACAAAATTTCCCTGTACTCTTCAGGCAATTACCCTAATTCTCTTTCTCTTGTACAGTGAAGAGCAGGCACCATCCCAAGATGTGGAGGGTACTGCCACAGAAGGCTCATGGTAATTCTCCGCAGAGGCTGCTCTGGGGTGGGATCCCTGTGTACCTCCCAGCCGAACTCTCTTTCCTTTCCTCTGAACCGCAGGCTGGGACTGACAGTTGAATAAGCCTGTCCACCTTCAGCCCTTTCCTTCTAAACTCGTGATGGGAGAGGATACCAGTTTCTAGGTTCTCTCATTGTGTCTCCCTCCTTCCTTGTTCTCAAATAAGTACATAACAGGTTGGATATTTATAAAAGTTTCCTTCAGCCGGGCGCAGCGACTCACGCCTGCAATCCAAGCACTTTGGGAGGCTGAGGCAGGTGGATCACAAGGTCAGGAGATCGAGACCATCCTGGCTAACACAGTGAAACCTCGTCTCTACTAAAAATACAAAAAAAAAAAAAAAATTAGCCAGGTGTGGTGGCAGGCACCTGTAGACCCAGCTACTCAGGAGGCTGAGGCAGGAGTATCGCTTGAACCCAGGAGGCGGAGGGCGGAGGTTGTAGTGAGCCGAGATCGCGCCACTGCACTTCAGCCTGGGCAACAGAGCAAGACTCTGTCTCAAAAATAAAATAAAATAAAATAAAATAAAATAAAATAAAATAAAACAAAACAAAACAAAAGTGTTTCCTTCACTTCACGCTGGAAAATAATACTAAGGAACTAATGCAGTTACAAAGCCGAAACAAATCTTGAGAGCCTCACACTAGAGTTAATGTTGACAGGACAGTAGTTGTTGGCTGAGATGGCTGCAGCTGGTCTTCTGTTTCTTTTGGATCCCTGGAATTGGAGCTCGGGGGCTTCCTTCTGACTTTATTCTTCCAACATCGTCTCCCCACTCTTGCTCTGCAGATTGTCACCTCCAGGGTCTTCTGATGATAACAGGTGATGGGACAGACAAGTGAACCTAAATGACACCTCTGAGGAGCTCCAGACTGGTCACACACCTGCTTTCTATAAGGCAAATGCCTTTCAGTCTTTCCAACCCCTGTCACTGCCACCAAGAGTTAACAATGAACTATCATATTCCACTAGGTGGTTTAAAAAAAAGTCCCCAAGAAAAAAAAGAGACATTGGTCTGCCTCTTCCACCTAAAGCCAGTTCTGAGGAGCAGTAAATGCTGCAGATGTCTTCCCAGAGCAGTGCCTGTGGACTAGAAGGATAATGATTGGTTCTCTAAAAGGAGCTGCTTCAAAACACAACTCCTCCCTCTTCTGCCTTGGGTTGTAAACCCACTATCAGAATCCCAGGACACAGCCCGGTGCAGTGGCTCACGCCTGTAATCCCAACACTTTGGGAGGCTGAAGCGGGCAGATCACTTGAGGCCAGGGGTTCAAAACCAGCCTGGCCAACATGGTGAAAATCACGTCTCTACTAAAAATACAAAAATTAGTCAGACAGGGTGGCGGGTGCCTGTAATCCCAGCTACTTGGGAGGCTGAGGCAGGAGAATCGCTTGAACCCAGGACGCAGAGGTTGCGCCACTGCACTCCAGCCTGGGCAATGGAGTGAGACTCCGTCTCAAAAAAAAACAAAGAAAAACAAAACAAAAAAAAAAGAATCCCAGAATACAAAACCCCGTAAGTTAAGAATAATGTTTTCCACTGGTGAGCATATGTGAACCCACATGTGTGTGAGTCTATGTGTGCTCCTTGCCTTTCTTTTAGCTCCAAATGCTAGTTCCCTATCTCGTTCCAGAATTCCCTCCTTCACTTCAGTGTTTGGCCCTCTGTTATGCTTGAGATTTTCCAGGCATTATAAATATGCATTTTTGTCTCTCTACTCAACTAGGACACACCCAGGAAGGTATGGGTTTTGTCTCAATGTTCATTGCTGTATTCCTAAGACCTGGAATAAATAATGCCTGGCCCATATTAAGTGCTCAATAAATATGTGCTAAATGAATGAATAATTGTGTATGTGTGAATACATATGGGTGAGGTGTGAAAGGGCATGTGTGTGAGCATGCAAGTGAGACCCTGTGTATGTACACATGTACACACATGCAATGTACCAGGAACCTTCTGGGGATGGCCTTCCTTCAGCTTGAAAGTAATGAGACCCCCTAAGTGAGAGCTGCCCCTGTCCCTTCCAGTGATGACCCTGCTGGTGCTTTCTCTTTTCAGGAGGAAACGCGCCTGCTCCTGCGGAATCGATAGTCAATGCTGTTTGGATTAACAAGGAGAGAAGGAGCTCACTGTCCCTGGAAGAGGCAGATTCCAAGGTGGACGGGAGGCTGGAGGAGGCTGCCCAGGGCTGTCTTCAGGGCCCCGAGTCTCCATGGCACACGCACCTGGAGATGCATCATTTGGTTCAAACCTTCCCCCAGGACACCAGTCATCAAGTACATCATAGGGGCAAGCTTGTGGGATCTGACCAAAGGCTCCCTCCTGAAGGAGACACACACTTGTTTGAAGCCAATCAGATGATTCAGCAAGCAACTGGAATCCCAGAGGCTGCCCAGCTCCCATGCCAGGTGGGCAATACCCAAACAAAGGCAGTGGAATCTGGCTTAAAATTCAGCACTCAATGTCCTCTTACCATAAAGAACCCACACAGGTCTGGCAAACCAGCTTACTATCCATTTCCCCGGAGGAAATCTCCCAGGATCTCCCAAGCTGCCCGGAACCTGGGTTTATATGGCTCACCCTGAAGCTTTCTATTCTGCCAAATGTCTTGACCTTGAGGCCACCTATGGCCTCATGGAAGAACCAATGAGGCAGAGCCACAACTAGGTCTCTAGCTATGAGCAAGAACTGAACTAACCCAATTATAGGCATTGTGGGAGATGAACTTCACAGTGGTAACATGGGTTTACCCTTTAATAAGAAACTTCCCAGGCCAAATTGCCCACAGTTTAGGATGGAGAGGACTGTCTGGTCAGTGCAGCCCCATTCTGACATTGATATGAGGTCCTGGCTATCCATTCCTTGGGGAGGACCAGTAAGACATCTGCTCCATCCCTGGAACTGGAGAATTTTGAAACATAAACCAGGGACTCTAGCCAATAGAACGCCTTAGCAATGCCCAGGGGTCAATGGGCATGGGCATTCTTGTTTTCAATGTCTTCTGATGATTTCTCACATATTCTGGAGAAGACAAGCTCTGAGAATTCAGACGCTGCTTCTGGTGGCTGTGTGTCTGGGGGGCCATCTCACTTAGAAGTCACAACACTCATTGGCAGTGATCACATCATTTCAATTTGGGCTTCCCAAAGTATGGTTACCCTGTATGAAGGTCAGATCAATGCTACCTACCGTTTTGTGTCTTTAAGGAGTCTTTAGAAAGGGCTGATCATCTGTCACTGCTCACTGAGACATGTACATTCCAACATCATCACAGATTTATCTCCTTCCTTCTTTCTCTCCCTCCCTCCTTCTGTCTCTCCCTCCATTCCTTCCTTCCTTCTTTCCTTCCTCTCTTCCTTCTTGTCTATTTCTCTCTCTGCAAGTTAATTTCTTATTAAAAACTGCCACTCATTGAAGATATATAACGATGGGATCCTGAACAAAAAGAGGCAAAGAAATTCTCCTGCTTGAAAAATACGCATTTCCTAGAGACTGCCTCCTGTTTAGTCCAACTTGGATCACTCAGATCCTTCCTGGGATCAAATACATATTTTTAAACGTAAGACAAAGCGAACCAGGTGTTACTTGGGTGATAGGAAAAAAAAGCTTGTCTTTCCTGATTAATGTTTAGCTTTAGTAATGCTATTTAAACACACCTAAGGTGCCTTTCCCTCATCTCAGGTGCTTTCTCTGTAAAGTTTCACCCCCACCTTTCTTTTCTCCCCATGACCATCCAGTCTTGCCCATCTACATCCAGAGGTGTTAACCAGCAGTGTCATTACCTGTCAAAAACATGTAGGTGCCTCCTTGAACCACCCAGAAATCCACTCCAATTTGGGGATTGTCATTCCTTTTGTGAATAATTAATACAATTCAGTTGTTTTTAAAATATTCTAATAAAAAAAGACATTTTCTCAAAAACCTTTGTCCTTTGTTTTTGTTTTTAAAGAAGTATCCCACAAGTAATGTATCTTTCTGTAGGTTTGCTTTTGTTTCCTGTTTTTGGAGATGGAGTCTTGCTCTGTTGCCCAGGATAGAGTGCAGTGGTGCAATCTCGGCTCACTGCAAACTCTGCCTCTCGGGTTCAAGCCATTCTCTTGCCTCAGCCTCCCGAGTAGCTGGGATTACAGGCGTGCACCACTACCCCAGCTAATTTTTTGTATTTTTAGTAGAAACGGGGTTTCACCATGTTGGCCAGGCTGGTCTCAGACTCCTGATATCCCTCGGGTGATCTGCCTGCCTTGGCCTCCCAAAGTGCTGGGATTACAGGTGAGAGCCACCGCACCCGGCCAATAATTACATCTTTTTTTTTTTTTTTTTCTCCTGCCTCAGCCTCCCGTGTAGCTGGGATTACAGGCATGCACCACCATGCTTGGCTAATTTGTATTTTTAGTAGAGATGGAATTTCTCCATGTTGGCCAGGCTGGCTTCGAACTCCCGACCTCGAACTCCTGGCCTTGATCCTCCCTCCTCAGCCTCCCAAAGCACTGGGATTACAGGCATGAGACACCGCGCCCAGCAAAAGGTAGAAATAACCCCTCCATGACCACAGCAGTGACTCAAACCTGCAATCTTCTGATCTGAAGTCAGATGCCTTATCCATTAGGCCACACAGCCACTGGCTGGTCAAGTCTTTGTTCAAAATGCCAAGAGCCTGGGATGGTCTCCACTGATAACATTAGCAAAAGAAGGTTTTCCTCTTCTCTTCCTAAGGTAGAGAAAAACCAGCTCACATTGTAAATGCTGCATCAGGCAGGCCACCTTTACCTAGGATTCCCGCAGGCTTCCATTTCCCAGTGAGGACTCCCCATGTGGCTGCCTGGTACACACCATGCTTCAGTCTCCCCTAGTAGGAGGAGGACTGATCAGGCTCCAGTCTGGGCACTGCTGTTGGCAGAGGTGTGACCTTTATTAGATGAATTAAAGTCAGAGATTTCAGAGCCAAATCTCAGAGCCACAGATTTACCAGTTTAAGTGAAGGAGATAATCTTCCCTGGGGTGGTGAGGAATGTGGAGGACAGACGTTTTCCCTAAGCTAGAAACAGAAAAGGTTTTTTCCAAGAACAGCTACCAATTCAGCTGGGTCTAACAGCTTCTTCCCCACTAGGGGATAGGCTGCCCTCACACTATCTCGGTCGGATTCCCTAACTTTTCAGTCACTCCCTGACATTTCAGTTGGTAAAGCTTGGAACTGTTCAAATGTCAAAGTTCATCTCATAGTCAAGTCAGAGTCTACCAAGCTCCACCTCCTCCCAGCACAGCCTTGACTGATGCCTTTAAGGCTGGAGGGAGCGGCTCATTCCCACATTCTTCTTTCTCTGTTTACACAGATTTTTGACAAGGGGGTAGGAAGGATGGAGAAGCAGCACAGATAGCCCTTTACATGACTGGCCACGGTGTAGTTTTGGTCTCTTCCCTTGGCCATTTACGCTGGCCTGGCTTGTGATCTATAGGTTTGGTATGGATACGTGGTGGCCCCAATGGGCTCCTGCTGAGGAGGGACTCATCCCAAGCAGCCCGCTAGCTTGGCGGGGCGGGGGGGGGGTCCCTTGGGAAGATGGTTATGCCTGGTCAAGCTGCCTCCACCCCATTGCATCAGGAGACCATTCTTTTTACCCTTTGCCCCAAGTTCATCTACCTCTGCTAGCCCAGCTCAGCCTGTAGACTCATAGGCAGCAGGCATGTTCTGCACCTGTGTGAGGTGATCATCCCTGCACCTTCTCTTTCTGGCCATTCTATACTCTTCTGTTTCCACTGAAGTCTCTCCTTTCTCCTGACCAGTCATCTAGTGGGAGGATAATGTGTCAGTCCTCATTCTTGCAGACACTACTTTATTTATTTATTTATTTTTGAGGTGGAGTTTTGCTCTTGTTCCCAAGGCCAGAGTGCAATAGCACTACCGTGGCTCACTGCAACCTCCGACTCCTGGGTTCACGTGATTCTCCTGCCTCAGCCACCCGAGTGACTGGGATTACAGGTGCACGCCACCATGCCCGGCTAGGTTTCATATTTTCAGTAAAGACGGAGTTTTGCCATGTTGGTCAGGCTGGTCTCAAACTCCTGACCTCAGGTGATCCACCTGCCTTGGCCTCCCAAAATCCTGGGATTACAGGTGTGAGCCACCTCTCCAGGCCGACAGTACCATCTTTAAAAGAAAAGTTCTGCTGGGTGCAGTGGCTCGTGCCCGCAGTCCCAGCACTTTGGGGGGCCAAGGCAGGTGGATCACCTGAGGTTAGAAGTTCGAGACCAGCCTGACCTATATGGTGAAACCCTGTCTCTACCAAAAACACAAAAATTAGCCAGGCTTGGTTGCTCGTGCCTGTAATCCCAGCTACTCAGGAGGCTGAGGCAAGGAGAATCACTTGAACCCGGGAGGCGGAGGTTATGGTGAGTCAAGATCCTGCCACTGCACTCCAGCCTGGGTGATAGAGCGATACTCTGTCTCAACAAAAAAAAGAAATGTTCTTTGCCCTCCCTCTTTCCCTTTTGGCTTTGAGAAGAATAGTCAGGTGGGGTGTGTGTGTATGCGTTTTTTTCTTTTTTTCTTTTTTTTTTTTTTGAGACAGAGTTTCACTCTGTTACCCAGGCTGGAGTACAGTGGTGCGATCACAACTCACTGCAGCCTCAACCTCCCAGGCTTAAGCAATCCTCCCACCTCAGCCTCCTGAGTAGCTGGAACTATCCGTGCATGCCACCACACCCAGCTAATGTTTGTATTTTTTGTAGAGACAGGGTCTCATTATGTTGCCCAGACTGGGCTCGAACTCCTTAGCTCAAGTGATCTACCTGTCTCAGCCTCTTAAAGAGCTGGGATTACAGGCGTGAGCCGTAGCATCCGGCCTTAGTCAGGTGTTTAATTCCATGGAGAGGAGAAGAGGGAATTAGCTCCATACAAACACTGAATGTCCCTATTGTGGCTCAGAAAACAGTGCCCCCAAGGGAAGGCCTCAGAAGCAAAAGCTTTTCTCTGACCTTCTCCTGCCCTCCTGTCTCTCAGTGCCATTCTCCCCCAGGGATAGCCATAGAAACTAGAATGCCTCTTCCCTAAGGTGGGTCATAGAAAGCAGAACCCTGGCCTGGTACGGTGGCTCACACCTGTAATCCTAGCACTTTGTGAGGCTGAGGTAAGTGGATCACCTGAGGTCAGGAGTTTGAGCAGCCTGGCCAGCATGGTGATAACCCCATCCCAACTAAAAATACAAAAAATACAAAACTCCAGCCACTTTCTAAGTCCAGAAGTTCTTTCCTGGGCCTTTGATTTTTTTTTTTTTTTTTTCCCTCAGTGGCGCGATCTTGGCTCACAGCAACCTCTGCCTCCTCCCAGGTTCAAGCGATTCTCCTGCCGCAGCCTCCTGAGTAGCTGGGATTACAGGCATGCGCCACCACGCCTGGCTAATTTTTGTATTAGTAGAGATGGGGTTTCACCATGTTGGCCAGGCTGGTCTTGAATTCCTGGCCTCATGATCAGCCCACCCTGGCCTCCCAAAGTGCCGGTATTACAGGTATGAGCCACCACGCCCGGCTATTTCCTGGGCATCCTGATTCCAGGCAGGATATGTAGAGAAAATATTGCAACTTGCCTGTAGCTGTCTCCTCGCCCTCCCTCTAGGCATTCAGTCTCCTGGGGAGATACCAACTTAAGACCCTACCTTAGGAAAGGACTTATTCCAAGGTCCCTGCTCACTCACAAACTAGGACTTCCTTGGTACCTCTGTGTGCATGTGTGTGCGGGGGGAGGAAGATTCTCCACAGTGGCCAAGCGGGAGGTTGGTGGGATGAGTAGAGAGAAGGGAACTAAGAAGTCCAGCTCCGGCCGGGCGCGGTAGCTTACGCCTGTAATCCCAGCACTTTGGGAGGCCGAGGCGGGCGGATCACGAGGTCAGGAAATCGAGACCATCCTGGCTAACACAGTGAAACCCCGTCTCTACTAAAAAAAATACAAAAAAATTAGCTGGACGTGGTGGTGGGCGCCTGTAGTCCCAGCTACTCGGGAGGCGGAGGCAGGAGAATGGCGTGAACCCAGGAGGCGGAGTTTGCAGTGAGCCGAGATCGCGCCACTGTACTCTAGCCTGGGTGACAGAGCCAGACTCCGTCTCAAAAAAAAAAAAAAAAAAGTCCAGCTCCTTCCCTCCTTGGGGGAGCTAGAGTCAAACTCCCTCAGAATGTCACACCCATCTAGGACATGTCCCCATAGTGGTGGGAGAAACTGCCTCAGAGAGGGGTTGGGTCATGGTCCTACTTAATACTGTGAAAGGAAAATTAAAACTCAGGACCTCAATTCATTCTGCCAGAAGGAAAAAAAAAAAAAAATGCTAAAAGCTGAGTCATACATGAAACTGCCTTTCCTTTTGTTCCTAAACAGATAGCTACAGATAAAATGTTAAATATCTCCACAGGCAGCTACTCTGCTTTTACCTTATCTTATGTAAACACTGATTTACTCATTGTGAGACAAATCCATAATTGACTATTCCCCTACCTACTCCTTTTCCCTTGCAACTTGTGGATTTCCAGACCCTCCCTCTTTCCCCTCCAGCCGCTTTTCCCCTTTAAATAGTTAAGTCCTGGGAGTCATCTTTGGAGAAAGGCACAGACCACACAGACTGTGTCTGTGATTCTGTATTTTTCCTTCTGGGCATATCTTTAACCTTGGAAAAATTAACTCATAAATTGTTTCAGACCTGTCTCAGAGCAATACTTTATGTCTGGTCCCTGTTTTGATCTTTCATATTTGAAAAACATTAATTTTTACTTGGTTTTCTTGGGTTTTGAGAGAAGCATCTGAAATTCTTTTAGTCCGGAAAAATTATTAATCTTCTCCAGTGGCACCTCCCGCCTCAGGTTCTTCCTGAGAGGATGCTTCTTCTGTTCATCTTATTTGTTTAAAAATCCCTGCACCCCAGCTTGTGAGTAGGGTGCCCCATATTGAAGGTAAAAATTCTAGCAAGGTGATATCACTTGCTTAAGGTGGCACAGCTAGCAAATTGCACAAGGAAACAGCAAACTCAGGCAGCCACAAGCCACATACCAGAGCCTAAACTCTTTTTTACTATTATTATTATTGTTGAGACGGAGTCTTGCTCTGGTTTGTGGCCCAGGCTGGAGTGCAGTGACAAGATCTTGGCTCACTGCAACTTCCGCCTCCCAGGTTCAAGCGATTCTCCTGCCTCAGCCTCCTGAGTAACTGAGATTACATATATGAGCTACCACGCTCGGCTAATTTTTGTATTTTTAGTAGAGATGGGTTTTCACCATGTTGGCTAGCTGGTCTCAAACTCCTGATCTCAGGTGATCCGCCCACCTCAGCTTCCCAAAGTGCTGGGATTATAGGTGTGAACCACTGCACCCAGCCTTTCTTTCTTTTTTTTTTTTTTTTTCCAGAGTCTAAACTCTTAACAATGTTAAACTATCTCCTCCTGACTCCTTCCCTTCACTTATTTTTATAACATCATAGCTGGGAAATCTACCCTCCAAATATTTTTGAATTGAAACTGCCAATGGTGAAATTGCTGCTTCTAACTGGAGGCTAGAATCCTAAGACTTTTCCTAAATTCTTCTTCATAAAACCTTACCTTTCCCCAGCCTTTCAGGTGCTGGTTGACCCTCCACATTCTTCACAAACATTCTTTCAGGTCACTTCCTTATTGAGAAAGACTCAGTCATGACTTCCAGCATTTTCTGTCTGCACGTAAATTCTGAAAGCTTTCGCCAGCTGTGACTGTATTTCTCCCACAGCTAATGAGCAACACACTTCCTAGAAACAGAAAGTTCAAGGAACTGAACTTGTAATGTTTTTTTTTGGCCTTGTGTTTGTGACAATTACATTAAATTTCCCCCTCCAATTCCATCCAGTAAGATGATACAACCACTGAAGTTGCCTTCCATCTCTTCCCAGTAATTAACTATGATTTATTCTGTGTTATTAATCTTTGTATTTCCCCTCTGCCTGCTTGCTGATAACTCCCCCACCCTGTGTGATCCACCCCCTGAATTCCTCAAATCCAGGATCATAATTAAGACTTGGTAGCATACCAGCCCCTGAGCCCTGGCTGAGAAATAGGAGGAGGAGGAAAAAGCTGGTCATGGCAAACGCTCTGTCTTCTGCCAACCCAAACCCCAGGTGTTTTTAAGGGGGGCCGAACTGGCTCTCAAAATCAGTATCAGCCCCAGATCCAGATTAGCACATTTTCTCCCAATGCAGGAACTGCTTCTCTTTACAAGAAATGCAAGTGTGCCGGGCATGGTGGTTCACACCTGTAATCCCAGTATTTTGGGAGGCAGAGGCAGGCAGATCACCTGAAGTCAGGAGTCCGAGACCAGTCTAGCAAACATGGTGAAACACCGTCTCTACTAAAAATACAAAATTAGCCGGGTATGGTGGTGTGTACCTGTAATCCCAGCTACTAGGGAGGCTAATGCAAGAAAATAGCTTGAACCTGAGAGGTGGAGGTTACAGTGGGCCAAGATCTTGCCACTGTACTCCAGCCTGGGCAACAGAGTGGGACTCCACCTCAAAAAAAAAAAAAAAAAAAAAAAAAAAAAAAAGGAAATGCAGTTGCTCTCGTGGTGGGAGAGTTCTGAGAGCAAGACCTGTCTCTCTCTTGCCATGGGTCCCTTTCTCTGCCAGTTTCAGAATCCACTTCCTGGACTCTCCCCCAAGACTGGAGCCTTACTCTCCTTTGAAAGCACTGTTCACGATACCAGTGGCTGCACTCACAACCTGAGGACTGCGGGGATGCCCCTGCCCAAATCTCAGGATCCTCTCTGCTGAGCATTGCCACAAATTAACATGATCATTGAGAAGACCCCTGACCAGTCAGGCACACTGCCAGTCCCCAAAGGGTGCGTGTGCAGAGGAAATTCGTGGCAAAATCCTGATGAGTCAAGCCAGATTTAGATGGCCTACAAGGCCTCTTTTTGTTTCACTAACCTTGGACCCAGACCAAGGTGGCCTTATGCTCTGAGACGGTGTTTCTCAACAGTGATTGCACAAGAGAATCATCAGGAAGCTTGGAAAATATTCAATTAAATGACAATCTCTGAAGTAAGGCTTGAGCATTGGCATTCTTTGTTTCTGTTGATCAAGGCATAAACTATGTAAAGTGTGGGAAGTATGCTAATCTTGAGTATAGCTTATGTATTAGCTATTATGTATTATGTATATATTAGTCCATTTTCATACTGCTATGAAGAAATACCCAAGATGGGTAATTTATAAAGAAAAAGAGGTTTAATAGACTCACAGTACCATATGGCTGGGGAGGCCTCACAATCATGGCAAAAGGTAAAGGAAGAGCAAAGGCACATCTTACATGGCAGCAGGCAAAACAGCAAGTGGAGGGGAATTGCCCTTTATAAAACCATCAGATATCATGAGACAGACTTACTATCACGAGAACAGCACAAGAAAAACCCACCCCCATGATTCAATTACCTCCCACTGGCTTCCTTCCATGACACATGGGGATTATGGGAGCTACAATTCAAGATGAGATTTGGGGCTGGGCATGGTGGCTCACAGCTGTAATCCCAGCACTTTGGGAGGCCAAGGCAGGCAGATCACTTGAGATCAGGAGTTCAAGACCAGCCTGGCCAACATGGTGAAACCCTGTCTCTACTAAAAATACAAAAATTAGCCAGGCGTGGTGGCCTATACCTGTAGTCCCAGCTACTCAGGAGGCTGGGGCAGGAGAATCGCTTGAACCCTGGAGGCGGAGGTTGCAGTGAACCAAGATCATGCCACTGCACTCCAGCCTGGGCAACAGAGTGATACAGTAAGACTCCACCTAAAAAAAAAAAAAGTTGACATTTGGGTGAGGACGCAGTCAAACCATGTCTATGCCTATATCTACATCTATATCTGCTTATTTTCACAGATACAGATACCTACACACATGTGTGACACGGATCAAGATATACATTTTGAGAATTCTAGAAAGTCACCTTCAATCTCTTCCCGGTAATTAACCACAATTTATTTTTCCATTCTCCTGTTTCTACTTTTTGCCGTGTGCATACAGCAAGCATTTTTCATTTTACACATCCTTTCGTGGACATTTGCTTCCGTTTCTCTTTAAATCTCCCTACCCCTCTTTTTTTACAGATACCTGTCTGGGTGAGCTGGTTTCAAGCATGGGTATTTTTTGAAAGCTCCCCCTGGTGATTCTAGAATTCTAAGATTCAGCATTGAGACCCACTGCCTTAGGACCACACTGATTATAAACAGAGGTACAAATTTGCTCTATGGATAGAGGCTTCTCTGTGAGGCTGAGCACAGAACTTGTGGGAATCTTCATGTCCCTCCTTCTTTGGGTGCCACTCTTATATTCCACTTGAGTTCCCATGATCGGGAGAAGGGGTTGGGGAGGGTCCTATGGGGGAGGCAGCCCCATGCGTATTTTATCACACCAGCTCTGTGAGTAGAAGGCAAGGAAGTCACCCAGATGAGGCTCTGAAAAAGACTGTAGGCCAGAAGACCCTTTTTGTCCCTCTTACCAACAGGTAGGTCCTGATAAGAGGCCCTGCTGTATCCTTGAGAACCATCTCAGAGGACCCTCTTTTGGGATGCAGCTTCCTCATCCCAAAGCTTTGGAAAACCCTGAGCTTCCTCACTAGGGCAGACCTGTCTGCCTTTCATCATTACATGGAACCAGAAGTGTGCTGATGACTTCCTGTCTTGGAGTTTCTCTAATTTCAGCATTATTCTTGAGATGAGCTGGAAGTCATATGAAGATCAGAGAGGACTCAGTGATTATAATGAGGCAGGCTTCAGGGCGAGGGCCTGGAATGATTTGGGCAAGAAACTCCTGAAAAACCTCTCAGGTATTTAGCCAGAGGTGAGGAGGGTGGGCAAAGAGTTATTTTCAGGGTATTTTTCAGACACTTTGAAAATGTTAGGGTGGTTAATTTCAGAGTGATTTTGAATCCCAACAAATCTACTATGTCTCACTCAGTGGTTCTAAAGTGTATTCTGCAAGCCAGCAGCATTGGGGTCACCTGGAAATATGTCCGAAATGAAAATTATTTGGCCACACCCAGCCCTGTTGACTCAGAAACTCAAGAGGGAAGGGCCAGCAGTCTGTTGTAGCAAGCCCTCCATAGGATTCTGATGCACACTCAGCTTTGAGAACCACTATTTGTGATAGAGTCTACCCCCTGCCTTAATGGGTGATCAGTATGGAGAAGTCACATTTGGTAGATTTCCCCTTGTAAACTTTTTTTTTTTTTTTTTTTCCGAGTTAAAAAAAAAAAAAAATCCACCTTAGCGTCCCAAGCGTTTGGACAGAGACACAGAGAATTGCTTACTAGTTTCGGGGAGATTATGACATTTTTGCAAGATAAGTAACTTTCAGCTCCATTTTCCTATCCAGTCTACAGAATGTCCATTCTGTTAGTCTCTGCTGACAGGAGAAAGGAGGTGGCAGAGTAGAAGATTCACTCCCTACCTGTCCCCATAGGAAGGGCACAGAATGTCTCACCCTTTGCTGCAGTAGCCTCCAGGCCTAGGGCTGTGAAGCAGCCTTGTGTTTGCTTGCTGAGTTCCGGCTGGAGTGCATGATGCGGAAGTAAACAGAGTTTACGCACAAAGAGAGAACATGTACTCAGTGTCTCTGCATGCCAGACTCTGGTACAAAAGCACAGATATGGAGAAAGTCACGAGCTTTGTTCTTAAGGAGGGTAAGTAACAAAAGTTTAACCACTTGGAACAGGTACAACTTCTGGGATACGTCTGAGTCAGTTCAGGCTGCCGTAATTGAATACCATAGACTGAGAAGCTTATAAACAGAATAAATCTGTTTCTGAAAGTTCTAGAGGCTGGGGAGTGTTAAGATCAATGCACTGGTAAATTGGGTGTCTAATGGGGGCCTGCTTCCTGTTCATAGACGGCCATCTTCTGGCTGTGTCCTCATATGACGGAAGGAGCAAGAGATCTCTCTGGGGTCCCTTTTTAATTTTATTTATTGATTTATTTTCTGAGGTCTCTTCTATAAGAACACTAATGCCATTCATGAGGGCTCCATCCTGGTGATCCAGTCACCTCCCAAATACCCTCATCTCCTAATATCACCAGATTGGGGTATTTATGAATTTTGGGGTATGCAAACATTTACTCCATAACAGGAGATAATTAATTATCAACAACTTCATTTTTGCCTTCCAAGGCCTTGGATGAAATTCAAGGCTGGGTGTGTCACTCACAGGAATGAAAACAACTCGTTCCAGTTCAGAACTTAGTAAGTCCTGTCCAGCACAAGTTTAAAAACAAAAAAGCCTTCCAGCGTCTTTCTGAGGAGCTCTGGGCTGCACGTCTGCAGTGAGGAAGAATGGGAAGCTTGGGTAACTGCTCTCCCAACTTGAGCTTCTAGCTCTCATTCCAAGTTACTTAGAGAAGTTTCTGTCCTCTCCAGGGTTGGGAGTGTACAATAACTGGGAGGGAGGTGGGGTAGGACCTTACCTGAGTAATACTGTCATGAGATACATGGTTTTGGAAATTCACCCTCTAGCAGATGGGATCCTCCCTGGGCATGGGAGGAGGCACTTCTGCTTTTCCTGGTTGCTTAGAATCCATCTGCAACTCCTCTGCATGCAGGAGTCAACTTCCAGCTTGGTTTTGCTCTTGTTCCGCTCCTCACCCCTCCAAGGCAGTGGCTGTAACCAGGATATAATAAAACCTTACACCATCCCTCTTAAATGTGAAGTCCCTCTCTGCTCCATGGGTCCCACGCATGCTTTGTGCTCACAATCTCAGGAGAGGAGGCCAACCTCAAGCAGTCATTAGGGACACCATCAGCTACGACCTGGAGCCCTTTGGAGTTCTCAGGTGTATCATGTTCTCCAATTTACAAGGAACAAATAAAAGCCGCTTGAGGGGCCCCTTTGAAGCCGCTTTCCCACAGCTTGAAATGAGGCAGGCATTCCCTACTACTCCCTCTTTATG